GTGTGTTCAGTACTTTTTCCCTGTGCCATTCCACATTATTACAAATAACTTCATTTCTGGACATTTATTGTTTGATTTCTTTGTATGTATGGATCACTTGGGTTGTTACCGACATCTGGTGAAAATTTCATGTCATTAGCTCCTCTAGTAATATATTTAATGAGAAAAATGGTGACGTGTTCAATACTTATTTTACCCGCTGTAAATTAAAAGGTTGTTCTAGTTTTTCCAAAGATGATTGACACAGCTGTAAATAGTGGTCTAATTTTTTTATTTGTTCAAATATTTAAAATGATTTACATCACGACTGTTCTGTGATTTGTTGAGTGAAGCCGAAGCTTGCAACATAAAAAATCCTGCTCAGCCAAACCTTTTCTTTGCCTCCTTACCTTTGCTTCTACAGGCAGGTCACGGACACGTTCTGACACTCCTAAATGTTCCCGTCTGTCCAGAGTTTGATAGACATGTTCCTCCTCCCCGTCTTCCCGATTGTCCACATCCTCTTCCCTGTCTTCAAGCTCCCCCTCTGAGTGCTCGGGGGATGACAGGTGTGACCGGCTGGCCCGATCCTCTGACCATCTGTCTCTGAGGACAGAAGAATGTAGAAGTGGAGGAAAGTTACATTGGCTGTGTCTCAGAGGACAGGTGGAAATGCAACCTGATTATGTTTTACATTCTTTTCTATTTAAAAGCAGATCTTGTTAACCAGTTACAGCAAAGATCATACTTTTAATGACGCTGCAGCGTTCCTGTGTTTTACAAGGATTCAACGTAACATTTAATATTTACAGTACATCTGGGTTCTTCCATACAAACAAAGCCTCTTTAAAACCCATAAAATATGATCATAAGATTCATTACCTAACTAGTTTCAGTTTCAAGGTAAATAAATTGTTACGGGTAAGCACTAGGCTTTGTTAACAGCTTTCAAGGTTTGTGCAGATCACAGAATAATAACAAAGCAGATTGAAGAAGCTTAATCTAACGTTTAGCCAGTAAAGGCTAGTTTTCTGTCCAAAATAAGCTTGTAAGGATGGTGCAGCGTATGCATGATGGAGTGGCTACCTGGCGTAAAGTGCAGTGCTGAAGTTTGGCTCAGATGTGAAGGTTTCTGACTGTTCGGTCTCAGAGAAGGACCTGGGCAGAGCAGGAGGGATGGCCCATGTCTGTCCAGTGAGTGACGAAGACAGGATGGCTGCTGCTAAGGCTGATCTGTAGACGTATGCACATACATTGAGTAAGAGAACCACATGAACATGTTGCATTTACTATATGAGAACTTGAGGACAAGTTGATCATTATTGTTAATATTTATTCTGTGGCTGCAGATGAGTCCATAACATTTCAGTGATCATTGTAAGCACATTCATCAGTAAAATCTGATCAGTTGATGAGTTTGTGAGGGGGAAAAAAGGAAGCATGTAAAGGTTGGAAGAGATGAGAGTGTTGGGTACCACCTGGGTCTCTCGGGTGAGGGGTTGGGGCTTCGCGGGGGAGGGGTTCGAGGTACGGCCGCTTTAGGAGCGATGGAGGCTGCAGGGATCAAACCAGGAGCTATATGTTTCTACAAGCACAGAGCAATAAGCACATATAAGTCCACACAGAGAGGTTAAAGAAACTACAAGTGGAGAAATAACTATGCAGTGAGGCACAGTGTGTTCATGCAAACGAGCTGATGTAAAAAAAAAAAAAACGTCAATACGAGACTAAGACCCCTTGACAAAAAAAGTTAATTAATCTTACAAAGTCTTTGTCCTGCTTCTCCCGTCTGAAGCTGAATCTTTTTAACATGTTGAAAACGTCTCAACTCGTCGTGGCTCTCTGAAGATGACGGAAAGTTTTCGTCTAAGCTGTTCTACGTGGTCAAGCAAACAGCTCGCTTTCCGTTCATTTTTGGTCAAACTACATTTTAAAATCCTAAAATGTCATCCTGGCATTGTTGTAACATCCTTTTTTGAATTGTTTTTTTCAGTCTGTTTATTAACAACAGCTTACGAGAGGCAAGCTAGCTACAATCAACTCTTGTTTCTAGACGCTAGCCAACATTAGGTCACTTCAATACAAAAGTAGTGCTGATTGGTTCCACTTCTCCAAACCAGCCAATCAGCGTCCGTTTTACTGTCCCTAGCAACGACGTCTTTACGTGACAACTGCTTGTCCAGCAGGGGGCGATTGCATCCTATTTTTGAAACTAACAACTTAACTAAACTTGACTATTTTTTATTTTTTTTTTCACATTAATATTCTTGAAGTTTTCAAATAGACCAGACCCGAAGACTAAATGTATAGTTTTTTTAAGGAGTCGGCTGTAATCACGTGTTTCTGTGCAGTCTGTGTGATGGATTAAGATGTCAGGTGGTTCCAGTCAGACTGTGGAAAAAGTTAAAAACACTCAGTGTGTTGATTCAACGTGGAGCTGTGGTCAGACTTCATTCCAGACATTTCCTATCTGTTTGACATTTTAACCCTTAAGCAGACAAAACCATACAAATAAGAGAAATAATCTCACCACCTTTGTTTATTCTATTTTATTTACATGTACAGAAAAAAAAAAAGTTTTTAAACAATGATCAGCTACGTGGCACAAAGTGCAGGAAAAAGGCCAGCCTGAAACAGAAAAGCAAGCACAACCCTTTTGGTGCACACCAAGGCATTTCGAAACATACAGGCACTGTGGCATGAGCAAAAAGTAGTACTTTACGTATCCTCTGTATACACATAATAGCACAACATGAAGCAACCAATTCACACAAAAACAGCTAGTGATTATTTTTCCTTGTGATTAAAGACAAATGGCACATAAAACACGTGATGTAAATAAAGACAGTGAAGAACGTGGCGTTTTCTCAGTGTACAGGTTTCAAAACATTTACAATTTAAAAACATTTCATGTACACAAGTTTACCAAAGAATATACATTCCTCCAAACGACCAAGAAGTCCACCGTTTAACAATTTATACCTCAAACTAAAATCTAAACCTCACAAGTATATAATTGTGTTTTTATTACATAAATAATTTGATTATCAAATGTACACAAGTATCTACTTTGTAGATAATAAAATAGTTCAACACTGCAAAGTGTCAGGAAAAGGTGAGACGTGTCTGACATTAAGACATGTAGAAAACAGAAACCTGGATGTGGGTTTTGATCAAAGTGAAGCTCATCAGTGTGCCCACATTCTTCCCTTCTAGTGTAAAATAAACTTTAAATACAGGTTGTTTTGCACATTAACAGCAAATCTAACAAACAAAGTGGGTAACAGAAGTCAGAAAGGTACATGGCAACATGTGGGGCCTGGGTAAGGATGGTGCAATAAAACAAAACACAAATATTCCCATTCATGCTGTCTCCCAGACATGGTACAGCACTAGAATATTAATCCTCAAAGGCTGACTGACAAACAGACAAAAACACACAAACAAGGTATATACACATGATTTAGCAGCTTATAGAATATTACAATCTACAACTCTTCCTAGATAAAATAAAGTTCACAGCACAGTTTTTCCCCCTCAATCACTCTTTAGCACTTCTGCAAACAAGTTTATTAAAAGTTAAATATCTATTTAGAAACTACACAACTTTATAACCCCAGCAACAAACATTGTGACCATGAGAGTCCTTCATTTACACAGTATAACAGATACACAGAGTACAGTGACAGTAATTACACTGACCTCTTACACTGCAATAGAATCACCAGATCCCAGCAATGAGAGTCCTTTAATAACTTTTTTTTATCTCTTAATTTGACAGGAATGTTTCTTCTAAAAGCCAAATAAATACTGAGATGTGCGACTGATGGGTGGGATGATTACTGCTACGTTCGTCCTCGTATTGCAGTTGTACTGTGCTGTACGCATACTGGAACGATGCAGGAGGATTTCTACCTCCTTTCTTGATGTTCTGTTCAGGTTTCCTAAGCAACAGAACGGTTTTGGACGGTCCCCATGTGACAGCACAGGCACTCATGCAGTATTTGGTCCAGTGATTTGTTTTTAATAGCAGCTGGTAACAGTTTATTGGTGACATACAAACTACAGTATATACAGTACTGCTGATATTCTAGTGGAAACACCAACACTGTACTACAGCAGGTCCAGTATGAGTACAGCAAAGTATTGCATGCAGGTTATGCATACACTGCGTACTATCTGCAGACTGATCAGTGGAGGCCATTGTTGATGTTGTAGGCGCTGGAGCTGGGGAAGGTGGCAATGGGCTTGTTCCAGGGCAGAGTACCACACTGGTCCACTGTGGGCAGGCTCAGGGTGCTGGCACTCTTATTCCTGTTCTTCAGACCCCAGCTCAGGAACGACGACTTCTTGGTTACTTTGCGGGATTTCGGATTCTTTTCTTCCTCGTCATAAGCCAGGCAAATCATGGAGTAGGTTTTAGGCAAATTTCCGGAAAAGGTGGCACTCTTTGTTGGCTGTGTGGAGATGGAAAAGGTTTTATTAGTTTTGCATTGTTTCACTTACTAAGTAACCTAAACATATTTAACAACTTATCATCAATCATTTTTTTAATCCCCAGCACATACAGCTGCTTAAACCAAAAGGTATGTTTATCCTAGAAACGGGTGTATAACATTTATATTACACAGGGTGAGTCAAAAGTCACAGGACACCCTTATTTCAGAAAGAAAAGGAAAACTAACATATCTGAAAACTCCAGCAACTAATGGGTGAGGGGGCCTATCTTTTAGGCTACATTCAGGACATGGCCGCCATCTTGAAAGTTGCCATATTGGATCAAAGGCAAGTTTTTTCAAAGATAGATCCCCACTCACTCATTACTTGCTGGGGTATTCAGATATCCACCTAATTTTTCCTTTTCTTTCTGATATAAAATAGTGTGCTGTGACTTTTGACTCAACCTGTATACAGTATTTTATTTTGCTTGTTTTTGATAGAATACTTCATTTTAACTAAACTGAATCAAAGTTTTCACAGCCTTGAACACATTGGACAGACGTCAGACAGGACATACCATTGAAGGGCTGCTCTCCATCAGGCTCACCACCTGGATTTCAATCCCATCTTCATCGACATCCTTCAGAAGATGCAACATTTCACCCACCCCCACCCATTTGCAGTCCTTTTTACCCACAGAAACAATAAAGTCACCCTCTCGTAGACCATCAGCCTAAAATAAAAAGTGAAAGAAAGCGTTAGAGAAGAAAAGGACTGGCAACATTTGACGGAATGCATTTTCAGCTGCTGTTTTATCTGAATAATTGTTGCATTTATCTTATTTTCTACTCTAAGAATAGCTGCAATCATCTATTCTGAGCTATTTTATTAAAGAAACTTTTTTTTAAAGCAAAATAAAAAAATAAGTGTGTATCACCAGAACACACTACTTCTGAAGGCGTTACAGACAGGATTTCAGCTACTTTTGTCTGAGAACTCAATCTTTATTTAGGTAAGCAGGTCAATAATCTCTGGAAAAAAATATCCTGTTGAACACAGATTTACAAGGTTACAAAGAGTTTGGCCTAGTTAGGCTTGAGCAAATCTGTTTCTTTGCACAGCATGTGTGAGTCTAATAAGAGTCTGCTCTTCGTTACCACATTTCAGTGAGCTACCAGGCTGTAAAGAACCAGAGAACATAAATGCCCACAATTCCTAATTTGATTGTGTAGCAGGAGAAACAGAGAGAGGGGAGGCTCCAAACATCCTTTGAGTTTTGAAACAGTTTAGCTTTTGGAGACTGTCTTCATTTTAAACAACAACAACAAAAAAAAAATCATTGTGTCTTTATGAACTGAAACTACATTCTGTGCATCAGCATGTCTGATCTGACATTTCCAAAAACGTGTACCGGGGTACAATAAGTTGCCTTCAGGCCCAAACCTCCCTTGACAAAGAGATCTGCGTTCTCAAAGGGACTTGCCTGGTTAAATAATGGTAAAATAAAATTAATTCAAACTTTCACTTTTTAGGTTCCATGACTACAAGCCATTTCCTGATACTTATTGTTTTTTTTTTATTGTTTTTTTTTTTTAGAAAGTTAACTTCAGGCAACCTTAGAAAGTAATTTTGTTCCAATCTGACTGAAATGTTTGTCACTGAGCTGGAAGCTTTAAACCTGTTTTGTTTGTTTTAACACTTAACTAGACACCACATAGTGGTAACATAATGACCCCYGCACGCAGAAATGCACCGGAACTCAGAAGTCTTTATTCCTAATAAATGTCATGCTACCAGACGCATCCCAAA